TCATATTTTAGATATTACTGGCTACTAAGATAGTATTTAGTAATATTTATTATTACTTTTACAAAATAATCCTAATTATATATGAGTAATATTTTAAGAGATAGTACATACAAATTCCACATGCATGTCAATAGAGAAAATAATATAATAAATTTTAATTAAGTTTAATTTATAAAAATAAGTTTTGTAAATAATGAAAATTATGTCATATAGAGCACCCGATTAGCCCATGGAGGTCAATTAGATGTGACAATCGGAGATATATGATGGGATGTGAATATGGGATATATTATAGTAATTGGAAAACAAATTCATTCGCCATATATACACTACAAGCAATTCTAATTTGGGCGTCGAATGGATTTAGATGGGCGAGTATGTTCGTAGCCCAAATAATCACAAAAGGGCTTCTAATCAAAACTCATTGCCCAAACTGTATACTGGGCGGCGACGAAATAAAATCTCGTAGCCCAAAATGTATTTTGTGCAACAAGTATGATTGTATAGGCTACCAGTTTATTTTTCGTGGCCTAAAATGTTTTGTGCAACGGAATACTTTCATTTTTCGGTTGCCCAAAATCTGAAATTCCCACGTATAGCAGTATTACTGTAGGATAGAGAGACATATAATAAGAGATGGCGGATAGACGAAGGCAAGGCATAGAAGATCCCGTGGTAAAATAAGTAGGAAGAAAATGGTGTAAATTAATACAAACAAATGATATGAAATCTTTTGCAGCATCTTTCGGCGTAAAGGAGATCGATCCTTAAGACTCAGCAATCAACAGCCTGACAAAATTCCAACTGCCCATACTTTACAAAACAAAATATGACCAAAAACTAACATCACCCAAACCACGTGCACTCGAATTTAATTTCCTCGCTATTTACATTTTCACCCAAACCACCGTACCAATTTTTTTGATAGAAAATGTTATTTGTTCATACCTCATTTATATCTCTTTGTGGTGTGGTATTAAACGCTAGAGATAGATTCTTGTTTCGTCCGATCGTACATTATTTAATTGTAATTCATGCTTTCATGTTATTGTTATTGTATTCCTTCCGTCTCAAAATGTACACAATTAATATATTTTGATATAATTATTTAAAATAAAAATAGAGTTATTATGAACAAGGCTAATATATATTTAATACATAACAATATTTTAGGACAACTACAAATATATATATTTAATATATATTACAGATACGAGAACTCTATATTAAGACGGGGGATTACTTTTGAGATTAATTTTTTTTTCCTTTAAATGACATAGGTATTGTTTTGAAAAGGGTGTGATATTTTGTCTTCACTGTTTGATCTCATGCTTTGGCTTTTCAACCCATTTTAAATTTTGTTCTTGGTTTTAGTTTCAGTTAATTTAATTTGATTCTGTTTGTATAACTTTGAAAATTGTGATAAAACTGTAGGCACAAAAATTGGTTAATGTGTCAATGGTGTTCAATATTGGATTTAAAAGTCAAATTTGACTTAGTGATTGTTTGACTACAGCTTTTTTGAGGTCAATCTACTGATAGCAGTCTGATACATACTAGCCAGGGCAGTTGCTTTGAATAGAAAAGTATAGTGTGGCTGTGGCTGTGGCTGTGGCATATTCAATAAATTATGGTATTCTTGTTTGATGATTGCCTACAAAAAAAAAACTTGTAAATAATGGGTGAAAATGGATTTGATAACCTAATGAAGGATTTTCGATACCTTAATATGACTATAGGATGTACAATGTAGTTGCTGATTGAAACTATCTATTGTGCCTTTTGACCAATTTTCGGGACTTTATAAACTTATAAGTGGGTCCATTATAAATCCAAACCAACTTTTATGATCCGGGGGATATCCAATTCCATTCACTTTAATATTGAAAAAATATTTCACAAAATTGATCCAAAAGTGTGAACTAGGATAGGAAAAAGGTTGAGGACCTTCCCACAGACCCCATGGTGGTTAGCTGACATTTATGTGACCCACTAGTGGTTGTATGTGGTTCCATATGACATACATAATATGACCCCAAGAAACCTCCTCTATCATCACTTGAGTTTTCGACACCTAACCTTGAAATTAAATATCATAGAATGGTTCGATATTTATCATGTATCATAACCGGTTATATTAGGCTTTGAGGTGCTTCATGGAGTTCCCAAAGGGCCTGTAAGACTTAATTGTTGCCTAGAAACATCTTATTCGTGCTTCCTTGACTCACTTCTCGCTATCAAACATGGTCATTTTTGTGTCGTGCATGACTAACTCTTATATTGACCACACTCATACGCAACTTGATTTATACATAAGGTAATATGGTTGCTTTTATACAATAACATTGGTTTTTATAGGGTACTTCCTTTATAAAGAGAGCAACTTTATTTGTAAAAATTAAAATATACTTTCTTAGGGTTTTTTTAATCGCAATGTTGGGGGTTTCACGCTTGCTAGTTCACATTTTATGATTTAAAAGGGGGGTTTTTTTTTTCTTCTTTTTTGGCGCAGATTTAAAAGTTGATATTATGAAAGTATTATATTTTTTTCCAACGTATAATAACATTCAAAAGACGATCATTCAAGTTTATAAATAGTGTAATATTCCAAACGTTGCAATTAAAAAAACTGAAGATTTTATATATAGTATAAAGGTAAGATTTGGTTATTTTATGAGTTTTTATTTTACACCCGCCTTATCTCAAAGTTTGTGAAAAATATTTTTTTTTTTATCAATTTTGGAATAATCTAAAATATTGTAAATTTCTCTCCAATTTACATGTAAAGAACATAACTAGGGTATTGTGTCTCAAAGATTCTACAATACTCGTATTAATTAGAGCTAGCTAGTCATAAGTCAGGTCGATCCTAACTATAAGAGTAGAGCATATTTGCCAGAGTACACAGAGCCGAACGCGTTAAGCAAAAAAAAAAAAAAAAAAAAAAAAAAAAAAAAAAAAAAAAAAAGGATAACCTACACCAACATGATGACGCGAACCAAAGTATCAAACTATATAAGTGGCACTGTGGCAGCCCAAACCCAAGTCAAATTGGTGATATTGAACCCTCAGATGGCGCACCGACAGAAACGTAACACAAACAACCCAGCCGACACATAACATTTAGAGCAAACTTGGGAGTTTGAAGTAGTGTTGGGAAGTATAATAACTCCTCCAATATTTGTACTTCCCAGGAAATTGAAAATTATAGGTAACGTCTTTCACTTTCATAATCATTTTTCTGACTATAAAAGAAACGAAACTTCCAGTATAGTTCACCTCATTATTTTATTTAATTTTCAACGTTATACTAAAATTGATAGTGCATCCGTATTTCGTGTCCTTCTCTTCTCTCATCACAAACTTGCATTATGCGCCCTTTGATTTCAGAACCCTATGCTAACTACTACTATTACTTTATAGCCTTTTTATTATTTCTTTAATCTACTTTTAATCATCATGGTTAGTGAAATGGAGTAGATAATCACTCTTCATCTTACATGACTAATGCTCATTATCTTATGACAAATGATTCCCTAGCTTCGAGTTTCAAGTTTTTACTCAATGTACTTGTTGATTTGATGATCGAAAAATAAAAAGTTGTATAAATTGTAATTAAGAATTTATAATCATCAAAAGGGTGTGCTTTGCTATTGTCACAAAAAAAAAAAAAAAAAAATGTGTGCTTGATTTATTTGAATTTCATTTATCTAAGAAAATAAAAAAATATGGATAATGTTTGTATTGCTTACGAGCAACATGTGTTATTATCAATTTAAGATCAAAATAACTTTTAAATTCTTCAATCTGTTCTTGATTCATGTATAATTTGTCATAAATAAATGCGGTTATGTGGATGAGATATAAGACTAAATATGAGTCATACATAAATGAACACGAATGAGCTTACAAGTTACAAGACCAAATATGAGTCATATATAAAGATGTTCAAGTTAGGTTAGTTTACAAATTGAATCAACGTTTGTCCATCTACATAATGAACGAATAAGTTTGATACTTGGATTTGTTTGCATTCCTCCATGGGATAATTCTGACATGTTTCAAGATTGATGCTCCACTACTCCACTTCAGCTAGCAATAATATTCATCAATAGAGTCCTTGTCAATCCTACGTTATTGTTATTGTTGTTTTTTTTTTCCTTTCTTTTTTTATCCACATATTTTTGCATAAATGTTTACTTCATTATTCTAAAATATTCAATAATTACTCCAAAAATAATATCTTGGGCATATAATTTTTTATTTTTTTTAACAAAAAAAACCCTTCACTTATTATTATTTCATAAAAAAAAAAAAAAAGGTTTTAAAACCCTTGGTTAATAATCTTGCAATTATTTCCAACACTTAATAAATTATGCGAATTCAATTGTCGTAAATTTAATACATTTTGAATGTATACTATTCCGTACTTAATATAAAGTAATACTCTGTACTCCCTTCTCATACTCCGTAGTCCTATTATCTAACCACTTAATGGACTTCATTTTTTATTTTGTGAGTGCAATACTTCAAATGAATAGAAGTATGAATTAATTGTGTGTGTAATTGAACTCGTAGTTATACCAGCAATCAAATGATGTTGACTCAAAACAAGTTCAAAATCATTGCTACAAGAATTAATATATCCTCAACTAACATCATCAGCCAATTAACAACGTTGACTAGCAGTCTAATTAATTCCCAATTGGACCAATTAACAACTCACTCTGACGAATTTATAAGAAATTGAACCGTAATACAAGGAATTTTTTTTCTACAAAAATCCACATAAATTGTATTTATCAAAAATAATTCTGTGACTGTGACATTGTAATAATATTACAACAAACAGTTGGACCATATAGCGACATAATCACATATCAGTATGTCCACTTTACTACACGTCTACACTTTGGATATAACGTATACACTCGGGTATATCACGCACATTTTTATGCTCATTTCTTATTTCCGAAGCAGTATCAAACCGAGTATATATATTTCTTTAAAAAATACTCGTAATTCATAAATAATACAGTTATACACCTAATTGTATAATAGAAATTAATACCTCAAACATATCATGTATTTTTTTTATTTTTTTTTTCATTTCTTAATTTTGGAACTACATCAAACCGCGTAAATTTCCAAAACAAAAAAAAAAAAAAATTACAACTGGTATGTACGTAGTACTCGTATAATAAAATATTGCCACCGCCAACATAAAGCGGAAAAAAAAAAAAAAAGAATTATACTACTACTGGTATTATATTATTATTCAATTTTCATTTCTGTATCATTCTAAAAATTTGCTAGCCACAAATTTTCTCCATTTCACAATTTTTTTCAAATTTCCTCAACCCATTTTGGGCAGAAAACAAATAAACTAAAATAAAAAAAAATAAAAAAAAAAGTTTACAAGCCCAGATTTATAAAGATCGAAACTTATAAACCTCATTTATATAAAAATATATGTAAAAAAAATTGTAGTAGTACTGTAAACAAACAACAAAAGTCATATCATCAACCCAAAAAAAAAAAATTAAAAAATAATCAAAAAGTAAATTTCCAGATCTTAATTCTAAGATCAACCTTACATTTAGCATCCGACGTCGTTCCAGGTGTCGGTGTTTTCGACGTTGCATTTTTAGGCTGAAATCCTTTAATCCCATCACATATAACTCTGATTCCAATCTTCTTAGTCTTGATTTTTCCCAATTGAACTTGAACCATTGTGTTCAACTCAGCTGTTACTGGGAATCCGCTCTTCTTAGTTAGATCGGATTTAAGTTGTTTTATAGTGTCCGAGTCAAGATCTCGGGTCGGGTCGCTTATAACGGTGGCTTTCAGGATGGTGGTGTTTCCGTTGACGTGGGTGAACGCCGGGAGAGTGGCGTTGCCGGCGTCAACGCCGGCGCCGGAGAATTCCACCGACATGGGGTCGTAAACGAAGGTGATCTTCTTCTTGTTGGGGTTCTTGGCAGTGAGTGTGAAGTCGAGGCGAGAGTTGAGGTGAGCGAAACCAGATGGATCGGCCGAGGTTAGATTGAATCGGGAGATCCGGATTGTGGACACCGAGAAGGTCGGGTGCTTCGGGTGGTACAACACGTAAAAGATGCACGCAGCGATTGCCGCGATTAGGAGGAGTGTGAGTAAGGCTATGAGTGTGTATATGAATGTAAGGCAGCAGCATTTTCGGCACGAGCATGAGCGTCTTGACCGGCGGTTTTGTGGTGGGCGGTAGCCGACTGGCCGAGGGCGGTTCGGGTTGTAGAGTTTACCGGTTTTAGCCGGTCCAGCTCCGTTTACGGCGGTTCCGTTGACTCCCCCGCCGCCTCCGTTTATTGCCGCTGGTGGCGGGTTCGGCTTCGCGGCGGGGTAGACTCTATCAGTCATCTTGTTCTAAGGATGGGGAATTATATGAGAGGTTCCGATTCGATAGGAAGGGAAAGAAAAGAGAGAAGTAAAGAAAAGAATGGTGTATGAAAGTGGGGGGAATGGATTGATTAATGGAAGTAGGGAATCTCTTTCAAAGTTGGCTTCCTTGCACTTACTAGCTTAAGCTTATGAGGGTAGTTTTTTTTTTTTTTTTTTTCTTTGCTTTTCTCTCTCTAGAACTAGAACAACTTTCTCTCTCTAGAAATTGTTGTTCACTTTGGGTGGAGAGAGAAAGAGAGAGAGGGTGTATTTTATGATATTAGAGGTGTGGAGACAAAGAAATAGTGTGGGGGAGGTTTGATGATAAATTGATAATTATAGGTGTTACATTATTTTCCTATACCAACAACTATATGATATAAAAAAAAATAAAAATAAAAAAAGAGGGGGGGACTAATAATGTGAAAATTGACCTAGTGAAAAACATACTTTGAGAATAATTAAGCTTATAAAACACTCATCATTGGGAAATGGTTGTGGGGATAATTAATGAGATTTGGGTAAGTATAGATAATAATAATAATACTAAGTGCTTGAATTTTAATTTAGTAGTGCATAGATTAGTTGGTGGGTGGGTTTTCAACATGGCTAGATAGCAACTACTACTACAATTTTAGTAATAGTAGCAAGTGAGTTTTCTTGTATGATGAGGATGACAATTGATTATTTGTCACACTTAAATAGAAAAAGGTTGTTTGAAAATGAGTTTAATTTGACTTTTAATTTATCGAGTTTTCACCGTATCTCCAAGATTTTTCAACCGGATGTGCTCCTCATTTGAGTTATTTTATTATCTCTAACTATCTACCCTTCTTTGTAAAATAAATGATCTATTCGATGGTCGATGAATTATTGAGATTACTATACATAATTACAAGGTACGTACTTGTTGGTCATCTTGAGTAATACTTGATAAGATAGTTCAAATTTTATTTTTCGATCTCTTATAAACTCATGTTTCAATATACATACATTACAAGGATTTGTCGATGTAACATGATAGTTCAATCAAAATGAATAAACGAGGGATCAAAAGTTTCCACCTGTTCTATATTCACTAAAAATGAGATATGACTATATTTATGCTTTCTTGGAATTACCTTTGGGTTTTTCCTTTCCAAAAATATATAAATATAATTTTAATTCAAATTAAACACAAGAAAGAGGAATAAGAGGTGGAGAATACGCATATATTCAAAATTTTAGAGCCATACAATGTCAATTCCAAAAATCCAAAGCATAATAAATTGATTAAAAAAAAAAAACTCAACCCTCCAAACCAAAGTACACCCTACAAGTTGGCTCCTTGGTTCCTAGTTAGCGTGATGCCGCCACCACTTTCGTCTCTACTCTCTACGTCAATGCCAATTATCTAATCCTCTAGTACATTCGCTACTCAGTAAATGATGGATTTCCATAGATCAAGACTGTTTGCTAAGAACGACAAATAATACTTCATGCTTATCCATTAATTCCCAAAATAATTGTTTGTTAAAAAAAAATGTCGCATTTAATAGCTAGGAAATAAATTACATATACACTTCTTTTATAAACTTAATCATAGCGTACTAATGGTTATTACTGCTGATCAAATAAGTCAAGACAAGCTAATCACCTTATCAATCTTCCTATATCGAATGTGACCTATCAAACGATTGCATTCTATGCATGCAACTTGATTGAGTATGTACCATTGCAAAGTTGTACTAGCTAGCTAACATATTATTCACTGTACTTCCAAACATAAGTACTATACTTAATGATATCTTGACCTACTTATATTACATTTCTGTACGTTTGAGTTGCATCCATTGGTTGGTAATATATCACAGTTCACGAGCAAACTTGTTCTTAAGGGTGTTATTTGAGGAAACTCCATTAAATTTTACAGCTAGGAAGTGTACGTCCTATTCTTGGACTCCGAATTACAAATCTCAGCTCTTATTGTTAATTTCTTAAATACATAAGACTAGCATTTACATAGTAATGTAATGGCGTACAAAATAGACAACCTTTTCAGGTATGAATTAGGGACTTTAGCTTTGTTTAGGTAATGAGATAATTAGTGTACTCTAAATAATAAGTGGGTTCGGTTATTGCTATCTCCATAATGGCGGATGCGGGCGATCACCTTCGACGTAGACTAATCCAACTCCCAAGCCAATGACGACTAAAAGCGTCCTTACATTATGTTTTCTATATTGATTACTTACAGCGTATATATTAAAGTCGTAAGTAGAAAACTCCTACAAATTGTTAGTAAATTTGTTGTAATCATTAATCAATCTCATGATCAACTCATATGTGAGTCAATCAGTGAAAGTGCTATCATAGTAGTACATTTAAGAATGAAGAGAAACAAACCACTATTCTCATAGTATAATTCTAAGAGCTACTCTTCTAATTAGTTTAAGACAATTTTTAGTAACTTGAACTTGTAAGTTATCCAAATCTCCTTCTCATCAACTAACAGGTACAATCAAGATTCGTATAGGCTACCTAATTGATAATAACTTTTGAAAATGACGACTAATTCTTAAGCTATATACATTAAATTATAGAATACATTAAACACTTTCAATAGAAATATAACATAAACTTCGAAATTTAAAAATTTGTTTAGGCAACTTATATTTGCAAACCTAATTTTATCAACCAACGAACTAATAATTAATAAAACAAAAAAAACATCCAAATCAAAGCGAGTGGGATACATATATATAGCATCATGTACTACTGTCGAGTGTGGATAATATAAATTAAATGTCAGAAACCGATCAGAGGTAGTGTCTGTTCATGATCCATGCTAAGGTTGATTTTATTTTGTTCTGTGGTTAACTTCATGAATTTTCACAAAAAATTATATGCGTCATCCATAAATGTGCGTACTACCTCATACCGCAAATGTTAAGATTTTTGGACCTACATATTTCTTTGTCCCATGCATCCATTTTACATTTTTACTTTAACATGTTTTAGAATTGTCGTCCTGTCTTGAAGGTAACAAAGTGACCATAACCTTTTCTTTTGCTACCGTTACGTTTTGCAAGAGGGTGCTAGTGCTAGCTAGTATTTCGACCTTTCTTTTTCACTCCGACATGTTTGTTTTATTACATTTAGGACGTATAATATTAGTGAAAAATAAAAATATGTAAAAATTATAAAAAGTTGAATTTACACCGAGACAGTTTAAACAAGAGTCTACATTACTATATTTTCCGATATCATAAATGAAAATACATTACCACGAAGTATGTTTTATCATAGCTATAAACCATAAAAACTTTTGTTTTGACACAAATAAATCACAAAAGCTGGTTTAAATAAAGTTTGTGAATAGTGTCAAAAGTAAAACTATGTCAACTAAAAAAAACGAAGCAAGTAAATGATACGTAATTAACATAAAAAAATTATGTTTGTATGAGATATTTGTCATCTGATATTAGGAGAATAATAGCTGTAAGGTTCTTTATGTTAAGATATGATTTGCTCATTAATATTGATATAATTCAATGAATCATATACCTAAGATTATTTATGGTAGAATATGATTTGCTAATAATATTGATATAGTTAGTGAATATTTTATTTAGGATTATTTATGTTAGGTTATGATTTGCTAATTAATATTGATATAATACAGTGAATCTTATCTTTAGGTTTATGGTAGTAAATTTTTTATGAAGATCGATTGTTTTCTATCTTTACGTTATATTAGATTTTGTAATAAATGTCTATCAATAAGTACGTAATAGACAAGCTAAGAAGGCTTTAAACATTAACCCTAAGCTTGTTATGGTATCAGAGCTATGCCAATGGTTGAGACTTTTAATGGCCTTAACATACTATGGGCCAAATTTTTTTTTAACATCTACATGTGAGTTGGAACCAATATTCAACGCTTGATTTTTTTTAAAAAAAAAAAAAAAAAATAGGTGTTCAATAGTTTATAAGAGCAATGGACTTGTCAATATACACATCGTGTCTATTTTTTTTTTTTTGGTGTTTAGATAGAGAGTCACAAGGACAAGTGATAAGAATCAATTCCAAGATCCTTGGAACTGAGAGGGAAGGAGCTCTAACCATTTGAGTTATCCCTCACTATCGCGTCTATAAATGTAAGAAAGTAAAATTTTTGGTAAAAGTCCTGCGAGCATTGTAAACCCAAGTGTATAATTAGTTAATTAATGACAGCGTAAGTATCTTGATTAACGAGTCGATGTCATAGCATAAGTATATCTTAGATTGTCTTTAACACGTGGTTTAAAGACGAGTCCATATAATAAAGCGCCGGTGAGATGCATGATGCATAAAATAACAAAGGGTAATGCAAATATGCAATGCAATGACTTGCAAGTCAGAAAAGGTGGGCCGTTGGTTTAGGATATGGAGGATTGGTGGAGGGGCCCTTTTAAGAGTGAAAATTATGCCACCGACGCTCTAAGCAAGCTAAGGTGTTATTTAATGGTCACAATTAGGAGGACATTCTTGTCAAAACATGGAGAAAAGGAGAGTTTACTAGTAGTTCTTGTATTAAAATCATATTTAGTTGATAATTTTAATTTATTATGCACATATAGTTAATTCACATTAATGATGTTGTTTGGGCATTTTGGGGCTGACCTTGATGGTACGGATACTTATGGTATTGACCCTAATTTCTAGGTCATTTGTGATAGCTGCAAGATAAACTTCATGTCATTAGGGTGTCACCATAATTAAAGGCGAAACGCCTAAGTTAGAGAGAGTGTGCGTAGATAATGGTGCTCTCACCGTGAAGAAAACGTGTTCTTTTATTTTTACATTATACAGGGGTGTTTAATGTTTATTTAAAATGTTAAGAGTTTTGTAAAATTTATGGGCCCGTGTATTTGGACTTTTATTGGCTAAAATGGTTAATCCATTTAGGTTGCCTTAAAAAATCAATGCATTTTCCTTCAATAAATAATTAAAAACTTATAAATAATGAATTTAGAATTGTAGATGGTCTCTTTCATCAAATTATGGAATATCTCATTAATTTGTTATTTTTACTTTTTCAAAAAAACTTTTAAAAATATACTTCGCATGTGTTATAGAATAATATATAGTTTAATGACAATTTAAGCAATAATTTTCAAGTCCAAAGTTAAGTTGGACAATATAAGTGAGAGTTAATTATTTGTAAAATGACCTATAAATTATATGATAATATAATACTTCGTATTACCATGTAAAAAAATTTCTATTGCTGGTCTTTTTTAAATTTACAATATGTATATTTATGCTTTCCTCTCATTTGGGCAAATTTATAGGTGCAGACGTGCAGTTGATTACACTTCAAAATAAAACTATCAAAAAAGTACGCAAAATATTCTTACATAGATGACTAAAAGTTTATTATTACCCCCTAATAATACAAAACAAGTAATCTACGAGTAGATCTATAAATCTATAGTGGTGTATTTAATCCCTTGCTTGAC